TGGACTGACACGTGCAAAAAAATGAAAATGGACCACCTACTTACACCATGTACAAGAACAAATTCAAAATGGATTAAAGACTTAAATGTAAGACCTGAAACCATAAAAACTCCTAGAAGAAAATTCAGGCAGTAAACACTCTGACATTGCTCTTAGTAATATTTCTTTGGATATGTCTCCTTGGGCAAGGGAAACACAGATAAAAATAAAGAAATGGGACTACATCACACTAAAAAGTTTTTGCAAAGCAAAAACAATAAAACAGGACCGGCTGAGTGGCATGTTGGTTGGGAGTTGGCTTGGGACACCAGCTTTGAGCAGCGGGGCCCCGGTTCAGATCCCACATGCGAGCCAATGATGCTGCGTCCTCTGCAGCTAGGATGGGGAATGTCAGCTTGACCTGGAGCTGGGCTGCCATGGGTCGCTGGTGACAGCGTAGGCAGCAGTTGGGCTGGCTGGAAGCTGGCATGCGCTTTTGTGAGCTGCCGTGAGCAGCCATGAGTGGCTGTCCAATGGCCGGCGAGCAACTGCCTCACCAGGGAAGAGTGCAGTGATGATACCAACATGGGCCAGTCGGGTGACGTCCTCCACAACTACACTGAAGAACAAAAAGGACAGCAACTTGTTTGTTCCCCTTCCCCGATTCTCCAATAAAATCTTTAAAAACAAACAAACAAACAAAAAGCAATAAAACAAAAAGACAACTAACTGAATGGCAGAAGATAGTCACCAATAATATATCCAACAAGAGGTTAATCTCCAAAATATATAAGGAATTCATATAACTGAACACTAAAATAAATCTGATTAAAAAATTGGCAGATGACCTAAATATACATTTCTCCCAAGAGGACAGACAGATGGCAAATAGACATATGTAAATATGCTCAACGTCACTAATTATCAGGGAAATGCAAATAAAAACCACAATGAGATATCATCTCACTCCTGTCAGAGTGGCTATCATCAATAAATCAACAAACAACAAGCATTGGTGAGGATGTGGAGAAAAGGTAACCCTTGTGCACTGTTGATAGGATTGCAGATTGGTACAGCCACTATGGAAAACAGTATGGAGGTACCTCAAAAAATTAAAAATAGACCTACCATATGACCCAGCAATTTCATTCCTGGGTATTTATCCAAAGAAATGCAAGGCACTAATTCGAAAAGACATATGCACCCTTATGTTCACTGCAGCATTATTTCCAATAGCCAAGACATGGATGCAACCTAGACGATTGGATAAAGAAGATGTGGTACATACCGGAGGTGCCAAAAAAATGTATACACATGACTTGTTTCATCTTTTGTTATCAGTATGTATTAAGTATTACAATTTTAATAGTTTTTTCCTTTCTTAAAATGTGTATACATTTTTGACACCCTCTGTACATACAGTGGAATATTACTTATCCATAAAAGAATGAAATCTTACCATTTGCGACAACATGGATGGACCTAAAGGGTATTATTCTAAGTGAAATAAGTCAGACTGAGATAGACAAATACCATATGTTCTCACTTATATGTGGAATCTAAAAAACAAAACAAAGAAAACAGAAACAGACTCATAGGTACAGAGAATAAATTAATGGTTGCCAAATTAGCAGGGGGCATGGTTGGGGGCTTGGTGAAAAAGGTGAAGGGATTAGGAAGTACAAATTGACAGTTATGAAAACAGTCAGGAGAATGTAAAGTATAGCATAGGGAATATGGTCAATAATATTGTAATAATTATGTATGTCAGGAGGGTACTAGAGTTATTGGGTCAATCACTTCATAAGGTAAATGATTGTCTAACCACTATGTTGCACACCAGAAACTAATATAATATTGTATGTCAACCGTAATTGCAAAAGTAAAAAAAAAATTAAAGAAAATCACATAACAAAACTCTTACATCTAAGTAGGACTTAATGTTGACCAGTCACTATATCAGTTTCAAAACCAGAGGTTGGACAGGCATGAAGCCACCAGCCCCACCCCCACTGCCAACAGATGATGGCCAGTCACAGCAAGTACAGATTTGTCCCTTGGTTTAATGCAGGGTGTCTTGACCTCAGCCCTGTTACATTCAGAGCCAGACAATTTCTTGTTGGGGGGCTGTCCTGTGCACTGTGGGAGTTGAGCAGCATCTCTGGCACCCACCCACTAGTAACTGCTCCCCCCCCCCCAATAATGGGACAATCCAAATGTCTCCAGACATGAATGTCCCTGGGGCTGAAACACGACCCTTTCACTGGTTTGATGTGGGATTAGAGCTCTCCTCCCAGCCTTCCCAGTGACAAGCAGTGACAGAGAACGTGAGCTGTCCATGAAGACCAGTCAGTTCCTTTAGCTACGAAATGACTGAAATGACTTCCTTCCCTTCTCTCCCCACACTGCAAAGTCATCGTGGACGCCAAGTGCGTCTGTGTAGTGAGGGACCTTCAGCCTGGTGAGGCTGCAGCCTCACGTGGGAGGGTACCAAGACCAGCACAGCCAGCAGCTAGCGAAACCCAGGGTTTCAGGGGGGAACCTGCCAGACACCAGAAGTCTACATGGATCTGTCTACAGCAAAGCTGAAAACGTTTATTCAATTATAACAGGAGAAGCTGACCTGAGGGGGCTCCAACCCCCAAGAGATTTGTAAAACTGCCTTCACATATCAGGAAATGGCATCAGGCCGGGTGTACTGTCCTCTCTCAAGTTCTAAGGCAGGATGCAACCAATCCCTTCCCCTTCCCCCAAATAAAATACAATAAAACAAAGAGGCAGAGGAAGCTGTGTGCATGCACGTGCTCTTCAGCAGTAGCAGGGAAAAGTCATCTGTATGCACACTGAATATCAAAGGGAGGGGAGGCAGAGGAAGGGTGAGGGCGGCCCGTGCCTAACATGCTCACTCCACCTCAGTGACGGCAGCCAGGATGGACTCCACAAGGGCAACTTGGCCCTAAAAACATCTGAAGTGAAAATGACAGAACAGTGGTCTAGAAATGCTTTAATTGGCCTCATTGTGTTAACATGGCCCAAAGAAGATAGGTACAACCCCAAACCCACAGAACCACAGTTTAAAAAAGCAACCAAAGCATCTGAGGAAACGTCTTTGCAAAAAAACAATAAACAAGTGGTTATTTGGACCAATGAGCAAAGACCATGAGCCACCTCGTCACAAAAGAAGAAAATGACTCTAGTAAATAACCCGGGAACCCATGCCAGCTCTGGGAGTTGAGAGGAGGGCCACACCCCCAGAACCACGAATGTGGCTGGCACCACTTCTGGGCACAGTGTGGGCGTGGGGATGGGGCGGGCTGGAACAGAAATCACTTTGGTGAGACACATCAAGGCCATTGTAAGGGCCATCCCTTCTAACTCAGTGCCACATCCTGGGGTCCCCAGAATGACACAAAGCATAGAATAACCTCACATGTTAGTATGGATCTTCTGTGTTAGGGTAGTTGAGAAATGGGCAGTGACCTAAATAATCCAGTGGTGTGGGAATGGAGTGAACCAGTACATAAACGGTCAGCTAAAGGATGAGACATAAATTTGATGGAATGTTACACAGATACTTAAAGCAATAGTTGTGGAATGTATGTACCACATAGAAAAATCATCACTGCAACGGTAGGTAGAAACATACTCTAAATACTGGGAGGAATCCCAGTGAAACATAGTGACCTTGAAGGAATTAGGCCATTTAAAAAATATTCTCTTCCTCCCATTTTTAAAGCTTTATTATGTATATACATTTAAAACTAAATATGTTTTTTTTTTCTTAGTAGTGTTGTAGTCCAAACTACACTGGTGCCTCCCCCCCAGACACTGCTCACTTCTAAGTTGCCAGGACCTCAAAAGCAGGAGATAATGGGCCATGGCTGCTGTTGGATTTCAGACTTTTCATTTTGACGTAAACAGATAAACAGGTACTAGGGAGGTGGTCTGGGCTTTACACTAATGGTGCAAAGCTCAAAGTGATCGCTTTTCCCCACTTATTCCAATGTTTAGTCAAAATCAGCCCCATTTTTAACGACTATATTGCCTCTACAAGGAAGGAGAGCCAAAACACAAGCGGTTTGAGATCACTGATCCTACCAGATCAGTAGTTGATATCAGAACGGCATTTTGTGCCCTGTCTCATGTCCTTCCTCCCCTCGCTCCCTTGACACGGATCACCCACATGTGCATCTGGGCCAGGGAGCACACCCTTCCAGGTAAGCTGCCCCTGGGAGGCTCTCCTGGGACCAGGGCTCCCTGCTGGCCACCTGAGCGTGCTGTCACCGCCCACCCCGGCTGCGGTCAGCAGAGCCCTATGCAGGCAGGTGTGAGAGCTCCAGGCGAGTCAGAGGGAGCAGGACCACCAGGCAGCACTGACCTCATAGATGAAGTACACCTTGGCCCCCACGTAGATCCCCATGCGCACGACAGCTCGGACCGCGGCGTTCATACCTGCGAGGGGACAGGACAGCAGTTAGTGACGAGCCGGGCAAGTAACTGACTGTGACCACGGGGAATGGTCACCTCAGGAGGTTCCCAGATGAGCAGCACTGGGGAGGGGCCTAGGCAACGCTGAACTCAGAACACCTCTGCTCACTGGTTCGGGACACGCACAGGCCACCTTGATTCTGGACGAATTTGCAACAACTTTGTCCAGTGGCAACACTACAGAGGCCAGGCGCCTATGTGCAGTTAGTCAAATTCAAAGAAAATGATGCTGACAAGGACCACGGGTCTGTGATGTGAGGAGGAGATGAAAATTAATTCCACCACCAGCTACCCGTGTGAAAAAAAAAAACTGTCAATGGCCTTATATAGAAAGTCATTGATGCAATTTCGTGAAAAGTGAATTAAACCTACATGCTATAAATAACACCTGACCAAGGTAAAGCTAGGCCACTCCCACACTTTCTCAGAGGACCTATGGGAAATTAAAGCCCTTTGTGTGACATATTGAGCCCTCACACTCCGTCTTGCTTCCCGCTGAAGCCATCACACGTGGCACCCTTGTCTAGAGCCAAGTGAACAGTCTAGATTTCATATCTGCTAAATCCTGTATCATTGTCTTAACTGACAGGCTAAGACCACGGGGAGAGAAGTGACAAGGAATGAGGGCCGTTCCTTTCAGAGATGACATGTCCTGTGCCTCCGCAGTGGCAGCAAGGCTTATTCCAGCCAAGCCACCCCTGGACAGCCACCGGTTCCAATATGCCTCCTTCTAAAAACTTAAATTTTGGAACCACAAGTCAGGACTAAGCATGTTGGAGAATGTGGACCATCACATAAGGGATACTTCTGGTGAATAAAAAAACACATGAAAGGTTCAGTGGCCCTGATCGACACTCACCGGACACAGACACTGATGTTGTATATACTTATATGCAAACCTGCTCAGAAGACGGTCAACATTGTCCAAACTATGTTGAGCCAGGTCTGAAATGCTAGAATAAGACTGTTGCCTCCACAAGGTGACAATTTTTTAAAGGCTACAATATTTATGTAGCTGGAAAATCTTGGGTATATCTTGGAAATAAATCAATATTTAATGTCTGTCTAATATCTACATTGATGTGGCTATATTTACATATATATTCGGTAGTCTTATTACTTCATGTCAAACCTAGTTTATTACACAGAGTTTGAACAACCTACTAATTCATCAGTGGCCGTCTCTCGTCCATCCAGGTCAAACTTAGCATTTTAAGCCACAATCACTTTTTTAACCTTCATCTTTTTCTCCTCCTCCCATATATCTCTTACTGCTTCTCAGCCCCTCGAGCCATGTATCATTAGTGCCCTTGACAGCTCCTGCCCATAAAGCTGACATTTTCTCCTGGCACTGTCTCCCCCACCCCGGACCCCGCCACCTCTTTCTAACACCAGCTTCACTATGGCCAGAATAAGTAACACAGCTGTTTCTCTTTCGTTTGTTATACAAGTAACTTGTAAGTACATTCTTTTGGTTAAAAAATATTACAGAATCTAGAAAAGGCACAACAATGGAGACAGTGAAAAGATCAGTGGTTGTCAGGGGTTGAGGGGAGGGATGAACAGGGGGGCACAGAGCATTTTCAGGGCAGTGAAACTACTCTGTGTGACACTAGAATGGTGGGCACGTGTCATTACACATTTGTCCACAACCATAGAATAGACAACACCAAGAGTGACCCTAATGTAAGCACGGATGATGTGTCACTGTAGACTCATGGATTGTAACAAATGTGCCATCTGGTGGGGTGCTGACGATGTGGGAGGCTGCGCATGTGAGGACGGCAGGCGGGGGCAGACTGTATGGGAAATCCCTGTACCTTCCCTTCAGTTTTGCTGTGAATCTCACGCTGCTCTAAAAAATAAGGTCTTAAAACAATGACAGACCAGGTAGAAAATGAGTGTCCTGCCCCCTTACCTGCCCTTTGGGACACAGCACACAAGTCCCATAGAAAACTGGCCATGACACTGTAGTGCTGTCACTGTGCAGTTTGTACTTTCACGTTTTTTTAGACGTTTTCTGTGTCACCTTTGATGTGCTTTCTCTAAAACATGAACGTGCCCATGTCCCTCCCTCAAGTCCCCGGGGCCCTGGCATGTCAAACCAGACTCCTGGGATGCGGGAGAGGACAGGAACGCTCCCATCACAGTCTCTTCCTACCTGCTGGGCCCACCTGGATGCTCGTCCTTGAACCTCATGCTCTGTCGCACTGCAAGACCCACAGCACCCCCAGGGCCGTCCCGAGTCCCAGCATCAGGGCCTCCTGATGCCCTCTCTGTACCCTAGGGAGGCTTCCTGGCCCGCCCCTCATGCTCACACCTGGGCGGGTTTATTGCATCCACGTGCTGACACCCACATCTCCTCCTGCCTGCGGTCAGGTGTGCATGGAGCCTCCTCGACACTCAGACCTTAACTGGTAAATGAGCTCCTCACAGTCCTGCCAGCAGGCTCTGCGAGTCCAGGACTTTGGCAACGCCACTGCAATTGGTAAGTTAGCCAGCAAACACTGAACCACACCAATGCCTTATCATGGGAGAGTCACACGGCTAACACCCCATTTCCCTCCTTCCTGAGGCCCCCATTCCCAGGGGCCCTTCATAAAGGCATGATAAAAGGAGACAAACTGGGGTGGGGGGGTTAGAAGTGGATAAGAAATGGCAGGACTGACACTGTGACAAGCGGGACACGATACAGACGTGACCCCAGGAGATCCCTGTGGAATAAAATCCTGCCCCAGAAGTTCTGCACATACCTTCACACCAGCCCGTCACCCTCAATTCCACCCTGACTTCCGGGGTGAACCTGTACTCACCTGGGAAATGGTCTGTCACCCCTCAGCCTGCAGTGGCCGCAGGTAAGGGCTCCGGGGCCCCCAGGTTTCCCAGGCAGGGGAGGACCCTGAGCAGTGCCTCTCCGCCCTGCCCCTGCTTCTGAGAGCCAGGCCCAGCCACACAGGCTGTATTCGCTTGCCAGTTTGTGTAATTTAGTGAAACCAGCTGGCCTTTCCCCCAGCTGGGAGCTAGCAGCCTCCTGATGGGGCCGGGACGGGGTGTCCATGCTCACAGAACAGCACTGGTTAACTTAGGTCAGTGCCTCAGCCACTGGGGACATGGGGACGTTGGGCACTGAGTGGATAAACTGACAGCCAAGGGAGCCAAGTTAATAAACGATGAAGCTGGAGTGTAAGCTGGCCTTGGTTTTATTTTATCTCAAAAGACGTCCTAATTCACTCTGGCACAATGGCTGCACCTTAGAATCACTAAAGGGGGCTTTAAGAAAAAAATGCCTGTTGGGCCCCCATTCCTGTCTGGTTGTGTGGGGTGGGGCCTGCTCCCTTAGCCATTTCTCCTTTTAGATTTGGTGCACAGCAGGGACCAAAACTGATACCTGGGAGCCTGGAGGGCAAACACCAAGGAACACAGAGAAAGCCAGTTTTTGCCAATGGCCTCTTACACACATGGCCAGGACAAAGGCATGGGTCCCTGGTACTGGGGTCTGACAGTCTCCTGGGTGGGCACTGCCAGTTTTAGTGTGTTGCTGAGCACTGTCCTGAGGTTCAGCTGCCATCCATACGGAATACAGGCTGTTTGGGGGCCTTTCACTCTGCATTCAAACTGCTGTTTTTAGTAACACCTCAGGCACAGGCAAGTCCATTCGTTTTGCCTTCGTTTTGATGTTGGAAGCCAGACCTAGGAACTAAAACAACTTTCATAATTAGTTCCATGAAAATGTAACCCTGCTCCCAAGTCCAAATCTTAATATTTTGAAAATAATCTCTTTATCATTTGCAAAAATGTAAACCCCGGTCCTCAGGGGATATATAGTCTTGTGATGGGAACTAAAAATAAATAAACCTTGAGAAAACTAGGGAGGAGCTAAGTGGGAAGTGTGTGGTAATTACTCTAGATATGAGAGAAAGAGTAGATTGTTAAATTGTTTCCTTGACGTTTCATAGTAAAGGCTTCTTCTTGAACCATCACGCAGGTAAGTCAGTCACTAAGATCATCTCTTCCTTGAGGTCAGGGAGTGAGGTGGACCTCCAGTTTCCAAATGCCTCCTGGGATTCTGATCTGATACAATTTAAACTTCGAGTAATTTGTAAGAAACAAGAAATATGTTGATTGTATTATAATAAAATAATCAGGGTTAATCCTTTCATTTCCTGTGTAAGCTGAGGAGTATGACAAACCTCCCTACTGAACCTTTGAGCCATGTTCCCTGCATGTCTCGGTACTTGTAACCAGTGCTTTACGAATTTCAACATTTAAACTTCATTTTGGAAAATGAAGTCAGGTGGCCCTTTTACTGGTCTCTCCCTGAGTTCACAGAGTTTCCATCTTTGTGCCAAAGCAAAGATGTGGAACATGGCAGAAAAACTTAAAACACACCCTAACTTGCTCTTGCTACTGAAGTTCTCTGTAAAGCTTCCCCTTTTGACAACTTAGGGATGGGCAGGAAAAAAGCATCCTACGGAGAACTGTGTCAGGATGCTGGCTTCTGTGAATGAAAGTTATCGAGTGGGAGCGTCCCCGCCCAGAGCACGGTATGAGTCACCGGGTCTTGTGCTCAAGTCAGTGGAAATCTTGAGATAAATCAGTAAGGGGTTTTTCATTCATCCATCCATCATCTCTCCTTCCTGCCTTCTCCCTCCCTCTCATCCATCCATGCACCATCCATGTGTCCATCCATCCCTCATCCACCCACTCACCATCCATCCATCCAACCAACCCACATGCATGGACTATCTTTTCCAGGCACTGTTGGCTATGTCATTGAGAAACCAGGGGACGGTGCTGGCCCTGCTGGGCTCATCCCAGCGGTTAGCAATAACATGATAAGCACGTGACAACCATGCGTGGCAGGTGCTGGGGGAGAACAAAACACAGAGCAGGGTGGGGGCTGGAGTGTGCTGCTGTGGAGAGGGGCTGCAACTGTCCTGTAGAAGCTAGCGCTGGCCTCCTGG